GACATAATGTAATTTTTATATTACCATCCATTTTCATGTCGGTGAGCCTCGACATCGACATATGTCGGGCGACATTAGCGACATTTGGCAACATTTGAAACCATGGTTACCGTCCAAATACTTATATGTCCATCCACCATTTGTTTACAAACTGATCCATTTATAATTTTTAGAAAAGAAACATATTTGCAAACCCATCACTTCCAAATATTTTTTTCCTTTTGACATGCTGTGCACATTTTTTATTTGTATTACAATACATTATCACACTATGACAGCACTTACTCCAAAAGCAATTACTCCAAAAGTAAATTCTCCATATAATGTATAATAAACACATGTACATATAAGGTTAAAAGTTTTGGGTTTTTTAGGCATTTAGTCATGTATAAATGGAGAAATGTGAGTGAAATTTGTAAATTTTGCTCAAAATCCAGAAAATATGAGAAAACTGGAAAAATTAAAATTATTAGTAAAACATAAATTTATTTATAGTGTTTCATGAATGTTAAAGGGGAATCTCAAGCCCAAGTGAACCAACACATTATGTACAACAAATGATAAATAGAGATTGATGACAAAATCTAATTTATTATCCTGAGATGAAAATCCTTATAAAGAAAACATCGTTTCTAACTCCTTTTCTTTGTGATTCTCTAAAATCATATGTATCTTGGATTATGCAGCTATATTAAATAAAAATATCAATTATTACTATGATTATTATATTACTGTATGGTTATTATAAAGTGCTTCATATTCTTAAATTAATTATTTAACTAATGAAGCTGATAGAAGGTGGTGGGAATGGTCAGGGGATGGCTGCTTCTCCATAAATTCTTTCGTAAAGCATCTCAACAGTTCCAACTTCCAATGTTAGCCCCTTATTCCCATATAAAGTGGTATGGGAATCCACAGCCCCCTCAAAGTTGCCTTCCTGGTTTGGATGGCTGCCTTGGGGAGATGCATGACCAAGGATTTACCATTGAGAAGAGAGCTGAGCATCCAGAGCCTTGTTTGTAATTTATGCCATGAAGTAAAGGAGAGTGCTGTTCACTTATTCATTCATTTCATTTTTTCCCACAAAATTTGGTATTACTTCTTTTAAATCAATGAATCTCAGCTGGGTAAGCCCACATTCTCTCAAGATGTTGCTTGAGGCATGGTGGGTAGATGATCTGTGTCAGAAAGGTAAAGTTGTATGGCTCTCAATTCCTGCAGCAGTAATTTGGTCAATTTGGAGTAATATCCTGCAGCAAGAATTGCAGGATCTTTGAAAGCAAAAGCTGCTCATTGGAGGAGGTGCTCAGCAGGGTGGTGGGAAAATTTGGATCTTGGGCAGCTATCTGTAAAAGTTTCAAGAATTCTTCCATCTGGGACTTTTTGGTTGATCAAAATTTGTTTAGAGGTTGAGGGAGTGGCAGTTTTGTTTTGTTACATATAGCCAGTTTTTGACAGGGGTTGCATTAGGGGTGGCAATATCCAACCCAATCCATTTGACCCAACCAACCCATCCGCCTAAAGTCCATCCAAACCCAATCAGTTGACATGCATGTTGAAACTGGGTCAAATGAAGAGGGTTAGGGTTGGTTGGATTGAGGTTATCCATAGGGTCGTGGCTTATGGTTTCATTGTTGTCATTTTGGTTCATTCTGCAACTCTTACCACCTCTGCCTCTTTTCTGTTTGCTTTGCATACAGGGAAGCATTCATCATAGACACAGGTATGTCTCCCTCCACTCTCTTCTTCTTCATGTTGCCTTTCTTTTCACATGACCAGAGCAAGACTAGATGGCTAGTACTGTTTTTGTTTTGGTCATGGCTTATGTTGTCATTTTGGTTCTTCTGCAAGTCTGCAACTCACCACCTCCACCTCTTTGTTGTTTGCTTTGAATATGGAGAAGCATTCATTGTAGACTCAAGTATGTCTCCCTCCACTCCTTCTGTTGCCTTTCTTTCCACATGTCCAGAACAAGGCTAGATGGCCACCCCTCTCTCTGTGCTTTAGCCACCATTCCTTCCCCCAACCCCCCTTTTCAACAAATAATCGCTCTGGTTGTAGTACCAGAGAATTTTCTTTGTTTGTGCAAATAGATTGATGATCTGTCATTCATGTATGCTTCCTGTTTTCTGTTTCTTGCATTCTGTTTGCTATTATTGTAGCTTTGTTATTATTGGGTATTCTAATGGCTGTAGTATAAAATTTGGGTTGTTTTAAACCTCAACAAGATTAGCAGTTTGACTTTTAGCTTAGCATTAATTTGCAAGTAACCTAGGTTCAGTGGTTTGAGATTTTGTTCTACATTAGGATCTTTCTAATAGATTGCTACTATGGAGCTGTTGGAAGATAATAATGAAGAGGTAGAGTTAGGGGTTGAGCAGGAAAATGAAGTTGAAGAAGATCAGGATGAAGGGGTGATTATGGACGAGACCCACTCTTAAAACAGGTCAATCTATGTGAATGTTGTACTGGCTACAGAAGTGGAGGTAAGTAAACTTTGGGATTGTTCTTTCTAGGAGGGGAGGAGTTTATGAGGAAGGTATTCAAAAAGTTAAATATGAAAAAAGGACAGACAAAATTGTCAACTTGGAAGTCAAGGTACCTCTCTAAAGGTGGAAGGTTCACACTAAGCAAAAGTGCATTAGCTAGTCTTCCAACTTACCTTATGACCCTTTTTCCTATCCCATCGGAGGTGGCAAAGGAAATGGAGAAAAAGATGAGAAACTTTCTTTGGAAACGCTGGAAAGAGACTCACAAGTATCATTTAGTGAGCTGGGATCAAATCTGCAAACCTCAATCACAAGGTGGTTTAGGGTTAAGACATTTGAAGTTGTTCAACATAGCTTTATTGGGAAGTTGGCTGTGGAGATTCTCAACTGAACCAAATAATCTGTGGAGAAAAGTGATAGAGAAGTATGGCCTAAGGAACAATGGGTGGGATGCTGGACCACCCCCTCAAACCTATGGTTGTGGAGTATGGAAAAGAATTTGTAAGGCAGCTAGAAAGATCATCGACTGCATCAGTTTTAAAGTGGGAGATGGAAGAAAAGTGAAATTCTGGTCAGACCACTGGATTGGTGACAGACCCCTAAAAGAGATGTTTCCTGACTTATATACAATGTGACCTTAGACAAAGAAGCCTTAATGGCAGACTCATTCAGACTTCAGGAGATAGCATGTGTTGGACCCTCATCTAGAAGGAGTTTCAATGACTGGGAAATTCAGCAGGTTGCTGACCTTCTCTCTCTGTTACAAAGCCAGCAACTAAATCTCCATTCCCAAGACACAAAAATCTGGAAAGGGACCAAAACTGGAGTTTTCACAGTTAAATCCTTCTATTATAAGCTACTGAGGAGGACTGAATCTCCTTTTCTTAGTCGGGCCATTTGGGGGAATCTAGCTCCTACAAAAATTAAGTTCTTTGTTTGGGTTGCAGCTTTGGAGAGATGTTTGTCTAAGGAAATGTTGATAAAAAAAGAAATGAGCATTCCAGATATCAGGTGCCATCTATGTAATGAGGAGGTGGAGTCAGTTGGACATCTCTTCCTATATTGTAAGTTTAGTACTACAGTATGGAGCCACTTTTTGAAATCCCTGAATCTGAACTGCTGCATGCCAGCATCAGTTAAAGCTCTTTTGGAAGAATGGCAGACTTCTGGACTTTCCAAAAAAGGGAGACTTTGCTGGGCTTCTGTCCCTCCAGCAGTGCTATGGGCTGTGTGGTCAGAAAGAAATAGAAGGCTGTTTGAGAAGAAATCCTCTTCTGAAGCCAACGTCATTAATTTAGCTATAGATGCCATTAGGAGATGGTTGTCAATACATTCTGATTTCAAAGATGTTATTTCTGATCATACTTTTTTGAGAGTGGACTTTTTTTGAGGTCCTTTTTTGTACAGATTCTCATTGTACAAGGGACCAGTTATTAATATAACCATACTTTACCTTCTTTCAAAAAACAAAAGGACAGACAAAATAGATGGGATTCTACCTAAGTAGGTAGTGTTAAGTACTTCCATTGTGGGAATAAAGAGTGGAATCTCTATTGGAGAAGGGTATGAGGTGCCAATATTGGTCTCAGAGGGGGATATTTGTGTGATAACTCCAGAGAAAAAAGGTCAGGCGGACGCTGAAAAGAATTTGAGTGCTGTTATAAGATTTAAAGGTAAAAAGATCACTCATCTAAGTTTCGAAGGGGGAGATTTGTGTGATAACTCCAAGGAGAAAAATCAGGTGGAAGCTAAAAAGAAGTTGAGTGCTGTTAAAAGATTTAAAGGTCAAAAAGATCGCTCATCTAAGTTTCGAAGGGGGTTGGTCCTCAGAAGAAGGTGAAGAAGATAAAGAGGGTCAGCAAGAAGCAAACTGGATTGGGCTCTTTTCATGCCAAAGCAGCTTTGGGGAAAAATGGATAAAGAGTTGTTGGTTCTAAAGATGTTGGTAGTCCCTGCAATCAGGGGTTTTTGGTTGCTGGATAATTGGTTTGTGGCTGCTGTTTTTTGGTTACTTTGGGTTTTGTTGTTGGTTTGTGTTGTTGAGTCTAAGAGTGGAATTCAGATGCGGGGAGGTTTAAGTTGTTAGTTTGAAGCTTTTTTTGGGTGGCTTCTAGGTTCTGTTATGTAGGTTTATTTTTCAATTGTTGAGAAGGAAGAAGTGTTGGTCTTGTCACCTTTTTTTGTACTTTTTGTTTCATTTTAATATTTTTTTTTTCATTTCTTCACCAAAAATTAAAAAAAAAATGGTTTCTCATTTGATTTGTCCTTGACTTTGCCAGTGAATCTGTTAAATCATTTGCAGATCATCTAATCCACCTGAACGGCTGAACCAGGTGTTCATCCTTTGAGCAAAGGATCAAGTCACCTAAACTGCATGTTGATGTAACCATGGAACTTCTTCACCATTTTGCTCCCATCTAACCATCACTTAGGTATCTCCCTCAATTTCCAAATGAAAATAGATCAGAGAAACTGAGTTGAAGAGTGAGGACATATCTGCTATAATGTCATCAACATCTCTTACAGGTTTTGAATATACTATTTGTACCTCACGTGGTTCTAAATATTCCACTAATCTCAGAGTAGCGAAGATTCCCATTATACATCACAGTTGAGTTTGATGTTTTGATTAGCAGTTTTATTTTTGGCTTAGCATGAATTTGCAAGTAACTTAGAGTTAATGTTTTAATTTACCTGAGCTAAGGTAGTTATTTAATTTTACATATTTGAGCCCTTTACCACCTATTAGAAAAGCTATTAGTGCTCAACTCTAGATATTGAAACTAGCACAAACAATTAAAAGATTTGAAACAGGATGTCCATAATAAAGCTAATGTAATAAATTTCATGATCACTCTCAGCAGCGGCGGTTCTTTGCTCTCTCTCTCTCTCTCTCTCTCTCTCCTGTCTTCCCGCCACCGCCACTGCAACTCTCAGCAGCGTCGGTTCTTTAATAAATTATTTTTATTTTTTATAAATTATATTTGTATTAATTATTAATTATTTTAAATTTTATTAATTATTAAATATTTTAATAGTTTTAAGATATTAATTTGATAATTATTTTTTTTATTTGCTTCATGGTCTTCATTACTATTTTCATTATTATTTTAACTCTTAATAATTTATTTTTAATTTATAAATTGATATGCATTTTTCAATTTTATTCTTATTTTAATAAGTTAATTTTTTATTTTTATAATTCACTTAAATTTTTTCAATATTAGTTTGAATTTAATAAATTATTTTTTTATGAAATAATGCAAATTGAACTCAAAATTACCAAATAGTCTATTTTAGGGGTAAAATAGTAAAATCAATGAATTTCAGATGCTGAAGGTTTGATCCAACATAAAGTCACAAACAACTTTCTTTATTAAGAGCCTCTAAAAAGTTGAAAAGTGATTATGTCTCTTTTCAGATTTCAGACACTTTTAATATCTTTTAACTTTTTAGATTTCAGATTTCAGATTTATCAAACACCACCTTAGTCTTCAAAATATTGCACCGGATGTCTATAACCCAATTCAGCTTATCTTTTATCTTGTTTTAAGAGTTTCAATCAGCTTTATGCTGTCTTATACATGGTTGACATTGTAATGCTCATGTCTTCTTTGTTAAGAGCAATGTTTTCAACCCACCGTTGATCGGGATGGTTGAGCTGTTTGAACCATCACCTTGTCAAGATTCTGGGTCCAGTTTTCCTAAAACCCGCCTTTTGGTAAAAAAACGTCCAACCCAGGTGGACAATTTGACCCAGTCACCAGGTGATCGGTTGCACACTCAATGTATGTGCAAACTTCCGGAGGCCATAACTTGTGTCCTTGGATATCCAATTGGGTGATCCCTTTTTCATTTTGGGTAACTTTTTGGCACCTTGCCCCGCTATTTTCACCAAAAAACCCTTTTTTGGCCTCAAATCCCATATTTTAACATTTTTAAAAATAAAAAATTAGAAACTGAAATAAAAAAATATAATTAAACATAGATTAATACACATATTATATGTAGAATATAATTATGCATTATTTTATTGTTTTTTCTGCCTCACTATTTTAACAGGAAAAAGTTTATGGAAGCATGTTATTCACACCATTTGGTCTTTTGTTCTGGAAACATCTAAGGATTTTGTTTCAATTCTGTCATTTACGGAAGCATGTTATGAATTTGTATTTTCGTGCAATTTCTTCTTTTTGGATAAAATATATTTTATTGAATTGTTTTATCAATTTCTGTGTTTTCTGAATGTTTAAAATATATAATTTTTAAACCATTTTCTGTGTTTTCTGTAGTTTCTGAGTGGCTGAAATATATACATTGAGGAAGCTAGTGTGGAAAACAAGATGGGATACAATGATATGAGAAACCAGTCACTTTTGCGTAGGGAAATGATATAAGAAGGCCAAACAAACTCAGTACAAATGCTGAGAAATGATCTGGTGTTTAGTTCCATAGAGATTAGAAAATATGACTCCATATACAGTTGGGTCTCAGGACTGTGGGCTTTGCAAGATTTTGAGCTTCATTTTCAAGTTTGCCAACTGGGCCTGACCCTAGAGATGACCTAGCCGCTAGATGATTCCGAGATGAGGACCATGTCATATACTCATCTAGTAAGAGTATTGAGTAGGAGCTTTTTCATTTTAATATTTGGAATTTTGGTTTTGAATATCCCTTTATGTAATAAATCTTTGGACCAAGTGTGCTCAACTGAACCTCAGCTTTCCTGAATCTCAGATTCTCAAAGACTAATTTAAGCATTTGCCTAGAATTTTAAGAACTTTTGTATGTGTGTGTGTGTGGATGTGAGGACAAGAATTTTTGACATATAACCTGTTCAATTCATGTCTCATTTTCGTTTGTCTGTTATTACAGGTCCCTAATAAGATGTTGCTAGGCCCAAGTAGTAGAGATGATATCAAAAAGAAATGAATGCCATTAAAAAGGAACTAGAGAGAAATGCATGGAATGGATTGAATTTGGAAAATGTCATATATAGATTTGATGGCCTTGATTCAGAATGTGAAAACAACACATTAAAGGAAGAAAAAGGAACCAGAAGACAGGAGAGTTTCTAGTCTTGATTGCACATTCCCAGATGGGTATTTTTGTATATTTATATCATATTTTTTGATATGTGATTTCTGTTGAAATATCAAATCAACCCTAAGTATCTAATATATATAGGAGAAAGAAAAGTCTGAAATAAGTAGGCCCAAGTTTTGCTTACATTCCAAAATATCGGCCAATAAATCTTGTTACAACATTTATTTCTTTACTGTGACCTGTGGAACAACACTCGAAAATTGAAATTATCTTGCTTTTCTTTTTCCATGGCGGTGGTCTAAAGACTACTAAATTAAAGTTTGAACTTTGAACGGATTTTGCTGAGTGATTATTTTATGAGCCAATTCAAGAAAAAAGAAATTAAATTTGGAAGTTTTGTTGGACTCGTCTTGTCAGTTGTGAAGCAGATGCTTTTGTTTGTATTTTGTGGAGTCATCGGACGCCGTAATTTGGATCCCATCTCTTTATTGTTTGTTTGTCTAATAAAAAAAAGGGGAAAATCGTCAACTTGACATTTGTATTTTAAAGAGAAGACGCGTTATCCAAAACAAAGGGGTGAAATTGTAAATTTAGTGTCTTAGAGCTATGACCATGGCCAAATTCCCAACATGCCCTTTATCCTTTTCTCAACCAGTAAATAGGGGACTAGCCGACTAGGGTTTAGCTTGGGCGGGTTTGGGTTGGGATTTTGTTAAATTTTCAACGGCCCCGACCCGAAGCATTTAGGAGTATTTACATTAATCGAACCGTGGGTTTATTTTCTAAACTGAACAGGTGCCATGGGTTTTTGGAAAATCGTGAATTGAAATGTGATTAAAACCAATTGATTAATATCAGTTTGGTTCTTTAGTTTTTTTTTTATATTTATAATGTATATAAATAAATATATATAAATATTAAAAATGTATGTGATATATCATACTGGTTGATTTATTAGTTAACAATTGGCTTTTTTATATTGGTTAATTGAAATCTAACAGTAACCGGTACTTTCGGTTTTTCAAAAAATGTCAAACCAATCGGTTCGATTAATTGGAATTTTTTTTTTTCGATTTCATTAGTTTGGTTCGCTTTTCAAATTTTTATGAGCACCCCTACGCCCTACCTTCAAACCTAAAACACATGATTGGTCCAAGCCCGAGCCTGGGTGGCCCCAACCCATGGTAACTCCTAACCCGCGCAATTGGTTTCTCTCAGCCTTACAAAAACGTGCTGTTTGTTTGGTATTGGGGTTGTTTCTTCTTTCCACCATATCAGCACTATGTAGGTGTTTTATTTATCTATTTGGTAGAGTGTTTTCAAGCCATTTCAAGCAACACTTGAATTCTGTAAGAGCAACTTTAGGAGAAAACACTATTTTGACATTTATTGTGATGGAAACAACATTTTCACCTGAGGGGTGCCTAATTGGCATCAAATGATAACATTAAATCATGGTTTTCAAAAACAGACCGGATTTGATGGTCAGACTGGAAAAATCAGGTGATTGGTTCTGTTTTACCCCAAAACCATTAATTTGCCTAAAAATGTTGATTTGGTCAACAAACTACCAACCCAGGCGGTCGAATCATTCAAACTCAGTGGTTTGTTGTTATTTATTTATTTATTTGTTAGAATGGGTCATTCGTTCAGTTTGAACAGTCGGACCGTTCAATCCAAGAACCAGACCCCTAACTAGTTCATTGTCCAATTCAATTTTAAAAACCTTGCATAGAATATGCACAAGACTCAAAAGTTACTTTACCGAATTCCAAGTGTGTCCACTGTCTTAGAAAGCTAATGTAGTTGTCAATTCAATCGATATCTACAACATCTATGCCCCTAGTGCAATTACCCTTTGTGTGCTTGTCGGCTAAGCATTCGGACAATGAGTTGTGGCGGCTATGGCCGAGAAGAACGGAAAACAAAGAAAAGTAGGAAGAAGAAAGGGGAAGGAGAAGAAGATAAATTGGGGAGGGAGAGAGAGAGAGAGATGTGAAGGAATCTGAGGTAGAAGGGATTACCACCGCTATTGTTTGTGTATCGTGAGGTCGGGGAAGATGAATAGTGTTTTTCTCCTACTTGTCCAAATAGTTATTACAAGGGTAATATGGGGATTAAAAAATATTGCAATAGCAGATTTCAATGGAAAGCTAATGGAAGGGGGTCTTTGTCTCATGGTCATAATACAGAGGGGGTCTTTGTAATTTACCCATGTTTTTGTGCAGTTATGCATAGCTTTTTTCAACCCATTAGGGTATGTTCACCACGCTTACTACCCACACCAGCTATTTTCTTTGCAAGGATAAATCAACATAAGAGCTAAGATTGTCATTACATAGATTGAGTTGAAATGTGTTGGTTTGTTGCACTATTATTTTTAATTTCTATTTGGTTTATGACAATTATCTCTTTACTTGGCAAAATTAGTACACACATTGCAATTTAAAATTAGTCTTATTGAAGTTTGTCCTCTAAGGAGGCGTTCTATAATATAAATTGTTTTTCTTGTTGCCGGTTCCAAAAAAAAATCAAAACCATCTGATTTGAAATCAAATTGTTTCTTAAAACAAAAACACGTAGAAAAAAATCATGTTCTTGGTTGTGTGTGTGTTTTGTTTTTAAAACTGAAACAAAAAACATGTTATTCAATATGGTTTTAAAAACATGTTTTTCATTTTAAAAATTTTTGTTTTTTGTTTTAAAAACAATTATTTTGTTGGTTCCAAAAACATGTATTTGTTTAAAAAAAAACAAAATCAACTTGTTTCCCCTTTGAAAACAAAAACAGTGTTCAAAAACATGTTTTAGTTTCTTTGCTGATATGGTGATTTGAAAAACGAATGAAAACAAAAACATTCATGTTGTAAAATGCCCCCTAAATTGACCACATAAATTATTGTCATCCAAAACTAATGACCTTGAAGGTTTTTTTGTAGCATTTTTTCTTGACTGCTTAGCATTTATGTTTCATTTTCACATCACGCTCACGCACCACCTAGGTGATTCAATTATGACATTCAAAAATCATGTTTGATAGAGCAAATTCGACTTGAAACATGAACACCAGAGATTGCATAAAGTTTTCAAATACGAAAAATGTATGGGTGCATATTGTATGATAAGTATTGATTTTCAGGGTAACTAACATATGATTTCTTAAGATTATTGAATTTTTAAAAGTTTTAGCCACTAACAATTACAAAACCCTTTCTTTGGTTACATTTTCAAAACCAAAATAACATGACAAGTGTGGCATATAAATGTTTCTAACGCTAGGAGGGTGTTCTTGCTTCACATGTCTTATTTGAGGCATTATTGTCTTTGCATGCATTGTAAAGCAAAAGACACAATTGATTGAACATGATGATAAATATATTTTATTAAAGGTGAAAAGTGCATTTTAGGAAACATGAACCAATGCAAAGTAAGCAGATTTTAATATGATTGGTTGAGATCTATATTTTTACAATGTAGTCAATATAAATAAATGTACTGTAATTGAAATCTTGATAGGGTTCAACTATGACATTGGAAAGATATGATATCTGAAAAATTTTGTACTAATCAACTGGTATCATAAACATGGTAGTCAATTAGGTTTTTTTTTATCAAAATTCATGTGTGGGTTTTGTTTGGTCAAAACTCTTCCCATACCATATCTTTCCTGCACCATAGATTTTTCCCAATTTATGTGCGAAAATGTCTTGCCTTCGTTTGAATTTTGCCCACAAATGCTATTTGTTGAAATGTGAATCCACCTATATCAAAAACCATATTTTATTGCCTTTGCATGCATGTAGTGGTCGTCCGAGGCACCTAATTGTTCAAGCCTAGTGTTGACTTACCAAAGCAAACTGTTTATATGGTTTGTTGGTTGATTTAGAATCTACACCCATTTGATAATTGGGTTGAATGCGAATTTAATCCCATTTGATTCAATGGAGATTCGAGTCATGTTGGTAAACTTGACAATTTCTATGTTTGTTGGTAAGGGTGTCTATTAAACCACATTTGGTCTAATCTGATCCACTCCAATATAAATCCATTACAGATGGACTAGGTCCAATCCAATCCAATGAAGACTTTTGGACTAGTTTGGACCGGTTCAATTTAATGTTTAAACTATCCAGTCAGTTCCAATTGGTTATAACTCAAGCCTAGTGAATTGACATCTATATTCTTATCTTTTATTAATGAAGTAGATTTTGATTCAAACCGATTCAATCCAATATAACTCAATTACGGATGAACCAAATCCAATATGTTGATGCTTGGGATGGCCGAGGTCAACATTGTCAATTTACCCCCAAACCAAGGTGCGAGATGCTCAAATCCAATGTGGCAGAGGATGGGTAGATTGCTACTATAAAGGGAGAGAACACGTCAAAAGCCCCGGGTTGAAACCTGAGGCAGAGACTCCGATGGTCAAATTAGTACGTTGGTGTGGGGTGACTGAGATCTTAAGTATGAGGGCTCAAACAAGGTCACAAGGGAGGATAAAAAATCTCAAGAAGAGCTTGAGAATCTTAAGTTATGGATCCCTTACCATGGGGGAGGTACCTCCTAAGAGCTCAAGCAATCGAAATGGAGTCCATACACGACAAGCACGGCCATCTGAGGCTGCCAAGTAACCCCACGCGATTGGTTCTGCATGGCCCGTTGAGCTCAACTCTGCACGGCCCCGATTGATTCTGCCCTAAGCCGCACTGGCTAACACGTGTAGTCCCGCCATTGGACGAGCCGAGTGCGCCTACATCACAATCCAATAAACATTTTGGAGCATTAAGTCTACTTTGATCTAATTCAACATATCTTATTGGTGCGTTCAGTCCAAATTGATTTTGTTTTGTAGAGGTCCAACCTAAAACCGGCTCATTCATATATACCCCTAATTGTTGGATTCACCGAGGCTGAGATTTGAGGGATGGAATGGTGAAGCGTGAAGTCGTGAGGAATACACGGGAAAAGTTCGTGTCCTTAGCATTGCTCAATCCGTACCATCGTAGAGTTATCGGTACGGTTTCCTTTTCTGGATACGGGTCTACTAAATCAACGGCCTTGATTTTTTCTTTCTTTTTCCTTTTAAATGAATCTTGAATCAAACAACCAGAGGCCTCCATTGGATTACTGGGGACAGGATCCATTGTCTCCGAATTTCAAGAGATAATGACCGATTCATACGCTCTTAATTGGGCGATTAATGTATAATGTAACCGCTAATCCAACTGTCCGGGGGACAAAGCTCCCGGATAATCCGGTCACAAACAAACGATGTCCGAAGCCATTTTCGTAAATTTTTCCACCAATGAGGGTAATTTCGTAATATCATCTCCTTTGAAAACACCGACATAGCATGTCTTTTAACCGTTAGATGTCGCATGATAAGCAATCGACGGTTGTCAATCAAAGTTTGACTGGCGTACGGTCCAACATGGAATGATTGGATTTGAGGAGATTTTGACTGCAAGCAGAAAAAAAGGAAAAAAAATCTGAAAGCGAAAGATTGGTTGTGGCTTTGTGAGTTATGGGGTGAGAGGAGAAGGTAGAAGAAGGCTGGAGGAATTGTTTCTTGTTCCTTCTTCTTTCTCCTTTTCTTTTGAGAATTCCTTTTCTCTCCTCTTCTTGTTTCTCTGCAAAACAGAGAGGAGAGAGAGAGAGGAGAGAAGGAAGAGGCTCCCTTTTGGGTGTTGGTTTAGTTTTTTTTTTAATTTGATCTTTGGAGCTGCGGGGGAGCAGAGGAGAGGTGGAGTGGAGGAGGAAGAAGAAGAGAAAAAGCAGAAAAGTAAGGGTTTTTGTTGGGATAGCCATGCATGTCATGCGTCGTCTCAAGAGCATTGCTTCTGGTCGTTCCTCCATTTCCGATCCTGTAAGTCCTTTTCGGTTAATGATTCGTCTTTTTATTGTTTTTTTTTTTCTCGTCTCTTTTCTCGGTACATTTTGCCCTTTTTTTCTTAATCCATATTTCTAAGCTTTTTTATGTGAAAAATTTGTTGAAAGTACCGATTTTTTTGGTTATCGATCGGGGTTTGGAATGATATTCGATTGGTGTTGGCCTTGGTGTTAATAATGTTGCTGCTTTCCAGTTTATGGGGTATTCCAGGTTGTAATGATCATCTCTGAGTCTGCATTTATTGATTATTTTAGAGATGATTTGAATATTTATTTTTATTTAGTTCCGTTATTTTCTGTTTTTCTAGGAAGGGTCTATGACTGGTGATCTTTTCCTTTTTTGGGGTGTTAGATTTTTTGCTCTTTAGTTCTTGTCGGGTTATTCGGTATGTGGGATTTCTCTAGCTCTCTGGATGAGCTTATGTCTTGCATTGCTTTTTTATAACCAGATAGGGGTTTGTTTATTAACTGGAATGTGGTTGATTACATGCGTAAGCTGGACTCGAACACGTAACCTCATGGCTACCACGGGATGCTATAGGGAAACCCTTCTGGTCTTTTTTTTTTTTGATTTTCTACAGAGATATCAAATTTATTTTATACCGTAAACCATATGTAAAAGTATCCAAACTGTATCTATATAGGCCAACTGGTTATTTAAAATTTTAGAAATTTATTCCTAAAAGTAGTTGTTCTATAAAAATCTTTTTAAATTATTTAAACTTTAAAGGCTGATATCCTTAAGTTGCCAAAGAGTAGGCGGACGGCCTTAAACCATGCACAGCATTACTCTCATTTGAACAAAAAAAGTGTATTGTCTTTCCCTCAAGCATTTAGATGTTTATTACTATTTTCTTTTTTCTTGTTCTGATTTGATGGGCTGCATAGGCTCTATTTCCATCCCATGTTCATAGGAAATAAATTTGCCTTTTGAATTGGAGTGCTGCCCCATAAGAATAAGTAATATGAAAACCTGTAACGTGGGGAAACTGCATATTGTGTAATAGAAAATAATAACCAAAACCTATTGAGAAAGATTATGAAGAGGAAGTGGAAGGCACGAAATGCATGAAATTGGAAAAAAACTGACTTGGAGATGGTCGTCAACAAAGAGGTGGAGGTAAGTAAAATTTTGGGTTTATTTTTCTTAGGTGGTGAGGAATTTGCAAGGAATGCCTTTAAGGAAGTGGAGGAAGATGGAGTTGTATTGAGGAATTGAAAGGATTTTCCATCTTCCGAGGCTTGTGGTTCTGCACTTCTACCTGTGAAATGGAGAATGGAGAGGGTGTGACAGCAGACAAGTATTTGAGAAGAACACAGTTATAGAGTTGGAAAGGATTAATGATAACGGGGGGAGGGGGGAGGAGGGGAACAATAATATGACTTCCTAATGTGGTGAGGAGATTTAGCACCAGAATAAAAACCAAAATGTGACAGTTTCTAAGATTTTTGCTAGACTAAGGGGAGACCTTTTTGGAGTTGGTGTAAATAAAGGGGCAAAGAAGACAAGGAAAACTACAAAGAGGAAAAAAGAAGTTCTGGTTCCTACTGGTGAAGGTTTTGAAGGAAGGGTGTGAGCTCTGCTGATGGGAAGGGTTTTGGGTTGGGTGTTTTGGTTTGATTTTTGAAAAGAGGGGAGATAAGCTATAGATAGGGTTTCTGGCTTTGAATTTGGGTCTGTTTTTGGCAGGTTTTTGAGTTTAGTGTTTGTTGTTTTGTTTGAGGGTTTGTCTGGAAGTTGGGGTGGATTGGTTTTTCTTGGGTTTTTTGGGTGATGCCTTGTCACCTTTTGTATTATCTGCTGGTTGTTTTCTAATAAATTTTCTTCTTTATTTATCTTAAAAAAAGGTCTAACACAATTAGGATACATGATACCAGGTGCTTTCTACACACTCCCTTTCGACCACCCAATGAAACATGGGCATGCCGGCGATAGAAATTAAATATTAGTTCAAGTATGTTTGAATTTATTTCCACCACTGATATGTATGTTTCATTGGGAGATCATGAGTGAGCATTGTAACATATCTATGCAGCATCATGGGGCTTGCATCATCTGTGCTCTTGCTTCCTACTGCTCGAGGCTTAAGTGCAGTGGTTTTGCAATGTGGATTGTGGAGAATCTGCACAATTACAGGGCTGGGTTAGTTGATGAAGCTCTGGATGTCTTCCTGGTCATCCAAAAGCTACATGGCATTTGATGTAGGAAATGGGATATTAATGAAACCATTCTGATAAGAAGTTGTTTATTTAAATTCGTTTGACCTTTTTGCCAAGAAATGAAGAGTTTGATTCGTTGCATGGTGGTTTTTGTAATGCTGTGCTGAGAACAACGCAGAAAACTCCCTTCATGGTTTTGTCTCTTCTTTTCTTTGGAATTTTGTTAACTAGAAGAGATAAGAATTGCATATCTTTTAAGTAAAAAAACTCCCAAGAGTCTTAGTAGTTTTTTCAAGCTCTGCAAGTTCCAAAAGCTTCCCATATGGCAATCATTCCTTTGAGATATTTTTTGTGAGATTTTTCCAATTAGCAGGTTCACTTTAAATGTTCGTGTCAACCATTGCAAAAATGGATAATCTTGGTCGGAATGTTAAATAATTCTTAATTTATCAAATATCCTTACCCGTTTAAGCAAGCAGTGCATCGTATTAATAGATAATTCCTAAAATGAGCTTGTGCTGCCTCTGATGCAACTTGTTTATACCTTCTACCTGTTTCCTATCTGTATTATGCCAGTTATTGTATTAAGTAATGAACCATTCTATAATACAATAAAACATGCAATAAAAAGTTCTAACATCACATTATTAATTTTTTGACTCACTTTTATGCATTGGTCAACATACCAAGTGTCAGTATGTGCATTGACATGTATGCTATCTAGCTCACAAGGTCAACTTTCAAAAGCAGATCAAGTTGCAGATTGGTTTGCTAAGAGAGGATTGTGGTGTAATTGTTGGGTTGCATATGCCACGCCTTGAGTTTGGTTTCCATCCTTGTGTATGATGAATTGTTCCTTGATTTCTTCACGCTTAATCCTGGTTTGTGAAATACTTGATTTGTCTTTCTACACTATTTGGAATTAACATTAAGTCAAATTAGTTTGTTGCATCTATATCCTTTCAGACAATTTTGGTGATTGCATCTTAACCCCTTTAATTAATTATCTTTACATGACTATTGATCAAAAAATTATCTTTACATGACAATCTTCAAATGTACTTTATCTTAGGGTGGGGATTCTGGATCAAAAAGGGCAAAGGTTGATCAGGAAACAGAACAGAATGTTACTGGGGAGACTCAGTCGGTGGAGAAAACAACTGTAGGCCTGGAACAACACATATCTTCTGCTTCACTGGAAGCTGATGCAAGCACATCCACAATTTCTTCCAACTCTAAAACTGAAAAGTCTGGTTTTGATCAGCTTCCAAAGGAAATGCATGAAATGAAAATCAGAGATGATAAAACAGAAAGCCATGATGATAAGGTAATACCTATAATCTGTTTATATGTTCTATTTATAAAGATATGTTGAAGCCAGAAGATGCCTTTGCAATTCTCCTTTATTATGAAGAATTTGTTCTAATTGTATTATTGGATTTTGAAGGATATGGAGGCAGCTGTCATAAATGGCAACGGGACAGAGACGGGTCAAATTATTTCAACTACGATAGGTGGTAAAAATGGTCAGCCAAAACAGGTAATGCTTATCACACTTCTGATTTGTTCATGTTTTGGAAATTATAATCATATTGCAAATTGTAAAGGTTGAATCAAATTGAATTGTGAATCGTATTTTATATTGTAAGATTGTTTCTTGTTTAGAAGTAAAATAATCATACAGCTCTCATTAACTGTATTTGTTTTTATTACTACAAAGTTTACTAGTTGTACACTATAAGTATAAGATGATATAATCAAGTTTGACTTTAAATTCAATTGAATCACATAAAGTGGCAGCAATATAGTTTTATTCTACCAAATTTTTAGAAATGTCGACTTTGTCAAACCTACCTCAAAATTTATTGTTTGAATTTATTTTAATTTAAAACAGCTCCAAAAGATATCTGAGTTTTTTTCTAACTTTTTGTCTGTCTTATTTTCTTACTTTTCTAATTCTAGTAAGCAAGTCAAATGGTTGCAATGGACAATTGGAACATTTGACCAATGATCCAGTGACAAAAAAGGGTTCAGTGTCAGGTCCAGTTCTGACAACACTGTTTATTAACAAACATATGATGGAAATGTTCTTAAAGAAGTTTTTAAATTAAATGGGTTTTAACAACCCAAGTTAGTCTTCTCCCAGCATGGGACATTGTAACACAAAAGCCCTTGAAAAATTAGGGGAAAAGCTAAATGCCAAAGTGCAGAACTAAATCCCAGTCAATTGATTTGAATCACATGAATGACGTAGATCATAAAATTCATGAATCTAATTGTATTTTTTTTCAAGAAAGTCTTCAGTTATAAGATTTAACTCAAAGCCCTTTGGATTTTCTTTTTTTATTGGTAATTAAAAGGCCACTACCAATGTTTTTTTTGATGAATGATAATAAATTTATTAATTCAGAAGCAGATTTAGAGTGAGTTCATACAACATCCCA